TGTAGACAAAGCGTCAACAATGGCACCTACAGGGCAGCCTGGGTGGCTCAGCGGTTTAGCGCCGCCTTCGGCCCAGGGCCTGATCCTGGAGACCCCGGGTCAAGTCCCGCATTGGGCTCCCTGCATGGAGCCTGCTTCTCCCTCTGCCTGGGTCTCTGCCTCTCTCTTTCTGCATCTCTGTGTCTCTCATGAATAAATAAATAAAATATTAGACAAAACAAACAAACAATGGCACCTACAAATGTTGGCAGACATGTAACAATTTCCAACACGACCAAGGAAGGACCACCAGCTCGTGCTGCAGTTGTGTCCTGCGTGAAACGTGCCTAGAGATTTAACTTGGTGGGATCAAGTCTGGCCCCAGCACCCTCCAGCACGGCTCCCACCCTGAGCTGGGTGGTCTTGGGCAGAGGGCGAGGCTGAGGCCAGGCGTGGGCCTCCACTCTCCCTTGCCCTGCTTGGAGCACTGCTGCTTGGGGCAGTTGGGTCCCAGACTTGCCACCGAAGCCCGGCCGCCTTTCCAGTAGCAACCACAACTTCAGAGGACTGCCAAGGAGCCGATTGGGCAATGTCCCTGGCGAACGTGGCTGTGTGTGTGTGGGAGTCTTGCACACCGGGGTGTTGGAAACCACGACTGGCAATTCCGGATTCCAGAAGCAAGTCCTGAAGGAGGGAGTGGAGGGAGGGGGCCAAAGGACCTGCTTTGAACTGGATCCCCCGAGGCGCAGGTCACGTGCAGCGACAGGTTCAAGCAACCCCAGGCAGGGGAACACAACTCACTTCCCTTTCCTCTTTTCCAGAAGCTCTGCGTGGCCCACTGGAATGATCCTTCCACCAAGTCTGACTGCGGAAATGGCACGGTCCTCACCTACCTTCCCTGAAGACGCCCTGCCCTCAGATCCCTATAAACTGAGGCCTAGCTCTAAGTCAGGGACCAGCCTAGCGAGTGGGGGGCAGATAGGACACTGGAGGAAGGGGCTCCATGGGGACAGGAAGGGCTCTGTGGAGGAGAAACAGGATGGTGGGGGTCGTGACACCAAGGGGTCAGCCCTCTCCACACTCGGGGGAGGGGATGGCTGGAAGGCCTGGCGCCACATGGGCAGCATCCTAGAAGGTGCGGGAAGCAGGGAGTTTGCACGCCATGCAACCAGGGTGTAGATGCACTGCCCTCCCCGGAGAGTCCCTTGTGAGGGGTACAGAAGTCTGCATTTTCTCATCTGTAAGTGGTCCTCATACCCCCACTGGGCAGGCAGTCCTGAGGAAGAGGTGGGAACCTGTGGCACCTCTGGCACCATGGGCCATACGGGAGGGATGCAAAGCCTTGCCTGGTGAATTGCTGGTATCGAGACTACCCTGTGACTCCCAAATTGGTTCACCTCCCAAGCTTCACGAATTACTAGTTTCAGACAACTGCCTCCCATCACTAACATCTCAGCTGAGCTCATCTGGTCTTGGAGATTCAGCCTGAAGAATAAAGGGCCTTACAAGAAGTTTCACAAACACCTGGCCTGGAGTCGGGGAGAGGCTGCTGGGGGCGCCCCAGGCTGGGGCTGGAAAACAGGCCCCGGGGAGGTGAGGCTCCTCAGCCAGCACAGCAAGCCTGGCCCCGGAGAGGCCCTTCCTGAACTTTCCTGCTCTTTGAAATTGTCTTCACAAGGCAAAGGTTGTTTCCCCCAACTTCAAAACGCTCAGACACCAAAGGATGTCTGAGTGACCGGATAAATTCTGTCCTGTTTCATAGACTGGGAAGCCGGGTCCCACAGGAGGACCAGTTGGAAGCAGAAGAGACCTTTATGTCGTTAGCATCCCAGTAACTCCTGAGGACTTATGTGATTTTTACAACGACCATGGGGACCTGAAGGCATCTTTGGTAACAAGGGCAAGCCTCTTGTGCTGCATGTCCCTGCGCTGAAGGGACACGTACCACTCAGCAGTGATTACCGAATGTCCCGGACGGAAACCCACCAGCGGCCTAGAAGTGAGCTTGCATGCACCTGCCAGCGCACACACGTGTGTGCGCACACGGCCCCTTGTCCTCTGGAGCCTCTCTGCCTGACACACAGATTCCTTGTTCGCTCACCCCACCCCTTTAAGTTATTTCCAGGACTTAGGTTATTACCCTTGGCAGCTGTGCCTCACACACAAATCTCGGGAGGCTGGTTTATGAAGTGTGACGTGCTGATCAACGACTAAGTCTCATTAACCTCTGCTTGTGAATGTGCATTCCTACCTCGGGCCCAGGGCCCGACCGGCACAGCCACGGCCTTCACTGCAGGTGTGGGGTGGGGGTGACCCCCGGGTCCTGAACCTAAGCTGCCAGGCTAGCAGCTCCAGCATCCAAAAAGTAGACCCTGAGGCCCTCCACAAAACTAGGGTGGCCTTCCCCTTGGAAATGTTCTCTGAACCTCAGAGACCTGTTCAGCTGGGGAAAGAGCTGGCCTCAAGGACCGTGAAGAAGCAGTGGGAACCAGGGAAACCTATATGGAACTCAGCCGTCGAGGCAGGGAGATTCCTTCTGACTTGGCTTTGCTCTGGATCCTGGCACATCCCCAGAGTGGAAGGCCCATGGGCCCCCAAGGCAGAGAGGTCTGGGGACTGCCAAGGAATCCATCCAAGGCAGGAAACACCTCTAGGAGGCGTCCCAGGCTTGGCCAGTCCTAACTTAGGGCCACCAGTGGTTCCCCCACCCAGCTTCGAGAACACATACTGGCTACTTTGACTCTCTGGGTCATTTCTGGAAATCACCCTGTTTCTGCACCTTTAGCTCATTGTTGGATAGGAAGTTCATCTGATTCAGATGATAAGGAGAAGCCCGGCTGGCAGGGTGGGTGCGAAGATGGTATGGGGGTGGGGGGACAGGCTCTGCGGGGCTCCCGGGGGTCGGTGGCCCCGGAGGCCTCCCTGGAAGGACAACAGCCAGGACAGAGAGCCAGCCTGCTGGTGATGGCAGGGGGCGGCATTTCTTAAGTCTTATGAATTCGGAATCTGTAGGGAAGAGTTTCATTATCTGTTTTGAAAGAAAGAGACATTTTAGAAGGACTGCGAAGACTGTCACACACAAGGCTGACCATTTACGCTGAGGGCAGTGGCCTTGGGTCATTATGCCCTCATGCCTGGCCTTCCCTCTTGCGGGCAGGTGGATTTCTCCCCCAGCAGTGCCCTTGGGGAAAACGGAGAGAACCCGGCAGGATGGGGAAGCAGGGCCTGGATGACCGGGACAGTCAGCTAGGGGGCAGGTGGCCACATTCCAGGCCCAGGCCCAGGCCCGCGGCCCTCCTCTGCCAACGCGAGTCCCTGAGTCCCCGTCTTCCCAGGACGCGGCTTACGGCCCTGCCTTCTCCTTTCTCAGGTATCTGAAAGCAGGGCTTGTCCAGTGAGCAGATTAGAAAAGGATATGCCAACTTGTTCCCATACTTGAAAGCCAGAGAAAGCCTCGCCGTGAAAAGAACAAACAGAACCTGTTTGGTGGCTTGTCATTGCGGTGACAACACGAACCTTTCACAGGTGAGCACTGCTCCCCCGCCCCCCCCCTCCTGGGCGGGCGGGGCTGTGGGGGGGAAAACACAGCCACCGGCTCCCCAGCCCTTAGGGAACTCAAGGGTTTGATGACAAACATTTAAGAACCCAAGGGACAGCCGAGGGAGAAAAGTTTATTAAAACTTGTCCAGGTCATAGAGAAACACTCCTGGAGAAGACAATGCCTCCTTTTGTCACCTCCATCAGGGCGACGGTGCTTCTTGATAAGAGCATATTGTTTTCATATTTATCTTAGTTCTCGCTCTGCGTTCCTCCTGAATAAACATAAAGAGCTGATTTCTGAGATCACCTGTGTCAAAAACATCCCCACCAAACCCACTGAAGGGTCAAAGTCCCCGTGGCCAGAGCTGTACGAGTGTCACGAAGAGAACCCCTCTCTGAGTTCTTACAGATAAAAAGGCCAATCCTCAGGATCTGCCGAGGCCTCACACATCAACCCCATGAAAACGGGGAGCCCACCTTAGGAGCCCCCCCACGGGGAGTTAGGGGTGAAGAACCCTGTACTGTCCACGTCCACATGTGCAGCTTGGGGAAGACACAAGAGCAGGAGGGTTCAGGCCCGGCCCGCCTTATGCACCTGCACGGACTCAGGACGCCCTGTGTCTTCTCTTCCACCACTTAGGGTCTCCTAAGAGGGTGACGCCAGCTGGGGCGAGAAAAGCAAAGGTCGGCCTTTCTCCCACTTCTGTGCAGATTCGCAAGCGCAGAGGGGCCACACAGCGGAGCGGGGTTGGAGGAGGGCTCGGAACAGATGTGGTTACTCTGGTCTCTGCGGAGTATTACTGTGTGCAGATGAGACTCCAGGCTGGGTGCGTGTACCTCTCCTAAAAGCAAAGAATTCTTTTTTCTGGATTTTAAGTATTAAGATGAAGAGTTTCATAAAAATGGAGAGTGAGGTATTGCTATCACTTTGAAAAGAAAAAAAACAACAACTGGACACTTCAAAAGTCATCTTTTCTTTCTTTTTTTTTTTAAGATTTATTCATTTATTTATGATAGACAGAGAGAGAGAGAGGCAGAGATACAGGAGGAGGGAGAAGCAGGCTCCTTGCACCGGGAGCCCAACACGGGACTCGATCCCAGGACTCCAGGATCACGCCCTGGGCCAAAGGCAGGCACCAAACCACTGAGCCACCCAGGGATCCCCGATCTTTTCTTTTCATTACAGTTTTGCTTGGAAATGTGGTCCTTAACCTTGAAGATGACCCCTTGTGAGTGTCCTATCACGTAGTTACGGTGAGGGAACTAATGCCTCTCTGCAAACTAGATGTTTGCGTTAACATGATACGGACACATACATTAGCAGCTATCGTTGGAACCTCGTGCAAAACGCATGGCTTTAATTACTAGGGTTTTGGGCACAAGAAATGGCCAGGGTAATTATGAATAAATAGGAGGGGAGGATAGAACCATTTAAAAGAAAAATAAATGAGCGTTAAGTATAAAATGCAAAAACAAAGCTGTTTGCAACTTAAGATAAATCTCTAAAATTTATTTTTCAAAAACGTCATTATGAGAACAAATATACTAATATAGTGTCTCGTTCACCTTAATCACAACAAAGTCATAGGACAGCATAAAAGACATAATTCTCATACGTAAAGGATATTTAAAACGTCAGCCACATCAAGACCCTCTATTCTGAAACACTGTGTACGGCATCTCACTCTGTGGAAAGGTAATACAGCCCTCAAGAACTCTTCAAACAAATGCAACATAAATAGGAGTACAATAAAAACTATTTTAAAAACCTGTAAAATCAAAGCACCTATTTAAATTAAGACCATCGGGAACCTACAGGATTACTTCAGGAGGACTCAGAGACACTAAATACTGTAGTTCTAAGGGGAAAAAAATGACAATCATTTTATGTAACTTACAAGGCGAACTGAATACTATGAAAAAGGTGCTTTGCAGCACATTTAAAAGTTTTAATTTAAATAATACTCAACAGGAGGAAACCGATTCTGTGACACTGGCTGAGACATAATAACAAAAGGGCGTGACTGTAACTGTGGCCCTTCCCAGTCTATTTTTAGAGGCTTAAGACTCCAGCCTTAAATAGTTTTAATAAGGCTCGTGGCTACAAGTCAGCATGTAACCCACAGCCTGGGAGAGGACCAGTTCTTTTCATACCATGTAACCTAGTTTGCTGGGGTGCTTTTTCCCTTTACAACTAATCCTGAGAGATCCTGCTCACAGAACGTGAGGGATCTCAGGAACGGTTTCTGTTTCCCTCCGTTTGCTAGCTACCCTGGCGCACGCACGGCAAAGACGGGGCGATAAACTGAAATCAGGTTACGATGGGGTGATAAATCCTTAAAAACGTGGAGCTACCTTGCTTTTCTGGAAGCCTACTTGGAATATCACTTTCCTTGGGTACAGAGCGACACGGGGGTGAGCAAGAAGCACTTTTGATTGTGGAGACGTGCCCTGAGAGGTACGGATCTCTGTGCCACCGTCACAGCGGGGACGGCTGCACCTGTCGAGAGAGGAAGGGCTTCCATCCTGTAGTGACTTGATAGGGTCGTGAGAAGTCTGTGTATGTGGACTAACAAACGTATGTACGTGTGAGCACACGTTTCTATAAACACGTTATGTACATGTATACACACAGTGCACGCTCACCCACGTATGTCCCAGTGACAAAAGCCCCCTGGAGGCTGACGAGACTTGCTTTCTGAAAATTACCACCTTTTCCAAATCCAACCTTTCCATTCCGCTCCCGTAACTCAAAATTACAGTAAATCATACCCTGAAGGTTTCATTTCAGTTTTCAATTAAAACAACCACAACCACCAATGGGCAAACCAAATTATATCCAGAAACAAGGGCACATCCAGGGCTAAACACACCATCGTTGGCCCCTGAAAAACAAACAGGAAAACCGGAGGAGATGCTTTGAGATGTTACGGAAATTGAACGGGCATTTTCTATTTTATTTTCGCAGGAAAGGAAGAGAAAGATCCCTTTCATCGATGACTGCGTGTAAGACCTCCAACCTGGCTTGGGTGTCACGTCCTTGGGATAAAAGTCTAAGATGAGCGACTGAAGCAGTAACAAATCAGACCCAATCCCCCTCCTTCTAAATCCAAGAAAAGGTATGGAATGGCATTTAGGGTTTTGGGGGTTAGTCTCTGAGCTCCTGGAAAAAGGGAGACAGGATGTGGGGCCAGACTGTCCTGGCAGGCTCACTGAGCTCAGAGGTGGCAGGCGGCGGGCGGCCCGGACCGCGGAGTCTCGGCACCTGTCATCTGTCATCTGTCGTCCTCCGCAGGGTCCACAGCCTGGGCTCCTCCCGCGGGCACATCCATTCGAGGCCACCCCCGCCACCCCCGTCACAAGTTCTCCTTCAGAAGGCCGAGCTTCCGCAGGGCCTCGCGGCGGGCCTCCTCCGTGGAGCCACGGCCGGAGAACTGGACGGTGATGCCCTGGGGCCTGAAGCCCACGGCACGGGGCAGCGAGCCCGAGCGCTTCCGAGCATCCTGGCTGCAGCCCGGCTGCTGGGGCTCGTAGAAGCTCTTGCTGGCATCCTGGCGTGCCAGTTTGGTGGCAAGCGCCGGGTCTGCACGGAAGGTGACAGTCTTCCCGGTCGAGACCAAGGTGCTGGGCTCACTCCTGAGCACGTCGTGAATGCTCTGGAAGCCGTTGGCCAGGGGCAAGCAGTGCTCCGTCTGCACACCTCTGGACTGCTGAGCGCCCGGCTGCAAGCCCGCCCGCGTGGACACGGCCTCCTGGGCCGGGCCCACCGGCTTGCTCAGGCCCCGTGGCCCCGGCTCCAGAGAGCTGCTCCTCCCCGGCTCGGCGGGCTCTGCCCCCGCGGCCCCAGGTGACAGGAAGGAGACACCGTTGATGTTGGCCAGGACCCGGGCCTTCCGCTCCTGCACGTTGACGGCCGCTTTGGAGATGGTCTTGTTGAACTCCTTGCCCGCACTGTTGGTCACGCTGATGTTGCTCGGGAAGCGGTGGATCTTGGGTGCAGGCTGCGCCGCGGGTCTGGGCCACAGGCAGGGGTCCCCGTTCCGAGGGGCCCCTGAAGGCAGTGTCCTCCAGTCCCCAGGCTTGCTCTCCTTGGAGGGGGATGGGGGTGCAAGTGCCTCACTTCCCGCCAGCTTCTCGGACATTTTCTGAGCGATCACCAGCGGGGTGGGGACGGAGCGGGGCAGTTTGGGGTGCTCTGCGGGAGGGGCCAGCAGCTCCTTCCTGGGGGATGTCGTGGCGGTGGCCACAGGCCGGGTGGGTGGCACAGGAGGGGCCTCTGGGGCCACAGAGCCTGGTGAGGGAGGACCCCCCGCTTCTGGTTTCCTGCATTCCACGATGACATCGGGGGTGTCTTCCTTCGTGACAGGACCAGCCCCTGAAAAGGACACAGAATCCTCATAAGCTACCACCTTAGGTAAAAGTAAATGCACCCCATTTCCTTCTTGCTGAATTCATGAGGTCTCCAAGGGACACAGGGCCAGGGTGAGCAGCAGCACGTCCTGTCACCTACCCTCCCTGGACCAGGAGAACGTCCTGTGTGAGTCTCACCACCACCGGATGAGGAGTCCATTGGTGATGGGGAAGGTTCCAGTCTCAATGCTCTGTCCCTGGGACACACATGGAGTGTGTAGGCTGCTGGGGACGTATGGACCAGGAAGGCATAATAACCCAGTGGTTATTATTCAGCTCAGTGGTTGAGCATCTGCCTTCGTCTCAGGTCGTGATCCCAGGGTCCCGGGATCGAGTTCCCCATTGGGCTCCCTGCATGGGCCTGTTTCTCCCTCTGCCGGTGTCTCTGCCTCTCTCTGTCTCTCATGAATAAATAAATAAAACCTTTAGAGAGAAGAAGGAAGGAAGGAATTAAGGAAGGAAGGAAGGAAGGAAGGAAGGAAGGAAGGAAGGAAGGAAGGAAGGAAAAAAGTAAGTTGGAAATGACTTCCAGGTGTAATCATTCATCTTACGAAGAAAACGTACAATGTACTTATGTTTTAGCTTTTGGGTTTGAGCTCAGATTTTGAGCAATCTTAGAGCCCTATTTCCATAGCATGACTTTTAAAATTGAGAGTATTTGGACTGGAAACTCAGCTGGTTCAGGAAAACAGGAAAAGAGCGGACAAGAGTTTGGCTCAGCATCTTCCTTGTAGGTTTGCTTGATTTGGGGTGGCTGCAAAGGAGAGGCCTGCTTTTTGTCTTTTGAATCCTGTGGGAAGAGCAGAGGGGATGGACGAGGGGGGATCATCTTGCTGTTTTTTTCTTATTGGAAAAGATACTGGAAAAGAACATGGGCAACGGGATAAGGATGAGGTAGAAACAGAAAGGAGAGTATTTTGGCTCTTACTACAAAATACTGCCGTTGTCACAAGCCTCTAGATGTATTTTTTTCTCCTTTTGTGTGTGTGTGTGTGTGTGTGTGTGTGTGTGAGAGAGAGAGAGAGAGAGAGAGAGAGAGAGAGAGAATGAATGGGAGAAAGAGAGAGCAAGGTCACATATTCCATCAAATTTCACAGACCGGGGTTCTAGACTCCACATGTGGACCCTCGTTTGCAGCCTTGTCGGCAAAGAAGAGACTGAGCTTCCTGTTGTTATCACACTTTTAGTTCCTGAAGTTAATTTGAACTGCTGATCCTTTAAAAATGCCAGATCATATACTTGTGCCAAGGGAAACACTTCCTGAGAGAAAGCCGCCCTGCCGTCCCTTGGGTGGTGTTTCCACAGTAGTTTTAAGTACCTGCTGGGGCAGGTAGGACGGGAGATTCTGAGGATGGAGATAAGTGAGATGAGGCTTTCGGTTGTGCAGCAGGAGATGGTGCATGGATGTACGTGCAAGCAGTGCTGGGCCGCTTGTGATCGGTATCTGTTAAGGATGTAGTAAAGGCTCGAAGGCTGGTGTGTTGAGGCCTACCCAGGGTTGTCTGGCACACTCAGCTGGTCTTTTTTTTTTTTTTTAAGATTTTATTTATTTATTCATGAGAGACAGAAAGAGAGAGAGAGGCAGAGACACAGGCAGAGGGAGAAGCAGGCTCCCTGCGGGGAGTCTAATGCGAGACTCGATCCCAGGACCCTGGGATCATGGCCTAAGCCAAAGGTAGATGCTCAGCCACTGAGCCACCCAGGCGTCCCTCTTTCTTTTTTTCTTTTCTTTTCTTTCCTTTCCTTTCCTTTCCTTTCCTTTCCTTTCCTTTCCTTTCCTTTCCTTTCTTTTCTTTTTTCCTTCCTTCCTTCCTTCCTTCCTTCCTTCCTTCCTTCCTTCCTTCCTTCCTTCCTTCCTTCCTTCCTTCCTTCCTTCCTTCAATATGTGTAAGGAAAGCACCTACTTGGTTGGACACTCAAGCTGCCAAGAGCATGCCTCTGGCCTGCAAAAACCCAATGGGGCCCAATGGCATCCATCCCGGCACACACAGGGGAAGGCCACAGTGTCCCCTGAAACACTAATGAACCGAGCCAGAGGCCTGGGGATGGGGCTTCGCTCCTCACCTGCTGTCTCGGTCGCAGCTGGGAGGCACTCAGGTTCCTCGGCCTTGGGGAGTGCTGGCTGCACCAAATCGATGACATCTCCTGGCTCTGAGGTTCCAGAAGCGCTCTCCTCCAGGGTCCCCGGAGAGTGGCAGTGTAGGCCGCTGTCACACTTGACTTGCTCCTCAAAGTCATCTTCCAGGGAATCAATGGTCTCTTCAAAAAACAGGATGACATCCTTTTCCTCATGTGTCAGGTACTTCAGGCTCTCATCATCCTACAGACACAGAAGGGATAAGACAAATAGTCGCCAGTCTGGAGAGAAAAAATAAGACAGAGCTGGGATCTGTGTAGAGCCCCGAGTGGAATCCACGGCCCTTTCAAAGTTCCTGCTGGGGAGAGTCAGCCGTTCAGGTGGCCCCACCGACAAACGTGTGCCTGTGTGTCCCTCCCCATCAAACCTGCAGGAAAAAGAACATGGCCAAGAAGCTACAGCAGATAAAGGGTCTTAGGACCTATTACCAACATCAGTCTTGTGGTTCCTGGTGAGTCAATGACCAAAGAAATCATTCTTCTTCGGACCTCCTTGGAACACTGGTCTCACCTTACTGCTCTCAGACGTCTTCCCACAACATAGCGGGGCACGTCTTTGGTTAAAGAGAGTGGTACCTACGCACACACTTCTGTCCTCTTTCTCTGGAAACCTCACCAAAACAATGAGATTGACTGATTGATTGATTGGTTGACTGAGTCAGGAGAGACACAGAGAGAGAGGCAGAGACACAGGCAGGGGGAGAAGCAGGCAGGACTCAATCCCAGAACCCCGATGCAGGACTCGATCCCAGGACCCTGGGATCACGACCTGAGCTGAAGGCAGACACTCAACCCCTGAGCCACCCAGGTGCCCCTATTATTATTTTTTTTAAGGTGCAAATCACAAAGACAAAAATAATAGGCAAGGAGACAGCAGTAATGAAATGTGGGAGGTGAGGAAGCAGCAGGGAGCTGAGTGTCAGTCGGTGACCAACGTGCTGAGTGTCGGGGACTCGGACGCTCAGGCACCGGGGCGCAGGGCAGTGCTGGGATGGGGGGGCCAGGAGGACGGTGAAAGGAGCAGAATGGGTTCAGCAGGAATGAAGTCACCCTGGCAGCAAACTCGATGTTGTTTCTTAAAGAAGATAAAAGAGGGATGTGAAGCGGAGCTGATCATGAAGGACCGTAATGGAAATAGGATATGAGGCCAAAGCGACACCCTCTGCACAGAAGCCTGGAAGTCCTCCCTGGGGTGTCTGAACGTCCAGGGGCCCAAAGGGGCGGACACCACGGGTTCCCCGACCAAGCAGCTCAGCGAGATCCCCCCACAGGCAGAGGCCACAGTCAACAAAACCGTGAATTTGTTGAATTTCTAATCAGCTTCTCAATGTCCTCTCTTTAAATACGTGCACACGCCGAAGGATCAACAAGCGGCTGAGAAAACCCTTCACCATGAAAGACAAACCTGAACAAACAGAAAGGAAAAGAAAGCAACTTGCAAAACAAACTCTGCAGAACTGATGACAATTTCTAAAAGATAGCTATTAATGTCCCCAGAGAGATGAGGAGATACCGAATCCACCAAGAATGTGATGCTATTAAAAAAAAGAAAAGAAAAGAAAAAAAACAATCCAGAGGACCAAAAACAGCCCTTAGAAATGAACACAAGGACAGCAGCACTGAAAAATGAAACCAATGCCCACAAGATAAAGTAGAAAAACGAGTCAAGTAAAACAAACAATTAAAAAAAAAAAAAAACAGGGAAGACAAGAAAATTAGAAGTATGAGGGCCAACATCTGACAACAAGAGCTCCAGAAAGGTAAATCAGAAAAGCAGAGGGCAAGAAAGTATCAAAATAAATAAAATAATTCAAGGAAGAGTTCCCTAAACTGAGGGCTTTTAGTTTCCAGATGGGAAGGCACCATGAGAACTGCCTAATGAACCAGGATGCAGCAGCCCCTCATCCAGGCCCATCACCGAAATCTCAGGATGCCAAAGACCCAGACCCTGAAAGCCTCCCAGAGTGAAAATCAGGCCATTCTTTTTCCAAAAGAATATAAAGTGAAAAAAATGCAGATAGAAAAACAGTTGTCTCAATTTGACTTAAATATACTCATACTGGCAGCTCAGGTGGCTCAGCGGTTTGGCGCCGCCTTCGGCTCAGGGCGCGATCCTGGAGGCCCGGGATCAAGTCCCATGTCAGGCTCCCTGCATGGAGCCTGCTTCTCCCTCTGCCTGTGTCTCTGCCTCTCTCTCTCTGTCTCTGTCTCTCATGAATAAATAAATAAAATCTTTAAAAAAAATACACATACTTAACATAACCCCCCCCCCCCACAAAATACTTAAAGTATACACAGTAAAGTGTCGACAATGGCAGTGAGAGGGGGATAGAGGCAAAAAAAGAAGAAATGGGGGCAGTTAAATTTGTGTCCTCCAGGGCACCTGGGTGGCTCAGTGGTTGAGCGTCTGCCTTCGGCTCAGGTCACCATCCCAGGGTCCTGGATCGAGTCCTGCATCGGGGGGTCCCTGCTCAGTGGGGAGTCTGCTTCTCCCTCTCCCTCTGCCCCTTCCCCCACCTTGTGCTCTCTCTCACTCACTCTTGCTCACTCCCTTTCTCTCATATAAACAAAATCTTTAAAGAAAAAAGTCATGTCTTCTAGTGAGTAGGATATGGGAGGAGGGTGTTTTTCAAAATCCTAGGAAACTACTTGACCCTCTATGAGTACAAATTTCGACAAAACAACCAAAAAAGTGGTGGAAGCAAATAGGATTAAGAGCTGACCCCAGCAGAGGGGTGGGGAGGAGGGTGGTGGCACCTGGGTGGCTCGATCAGTAAGCATCAGACTCTTGATTTCATGTCAGGTCTTGGTCTCAGGGTTGTGAGTTCAAGTCCCACGTTGGGCTCCACGCTCGGCATAGAGCCTACTTAAAAGATAAAAAATTGTTCACTGAGGTGATGCAGGGAGAATGCTTCTCCCACTGGGATCTGGGCGGTTACACAAATGCCCATCCACCCAAAGCACCTGACTCCCAGGCCCATCGCAGAGCCTGCAGGCTTCACAAATTCAGAGATGGTTGAAAGCATTCATTTGTTTTTGGTACGATCAACCCAAGAATACATGCAAATTTCTCAACCTCGCCTTGGCTACATTAGTTTAAGCCTGAAGGCAGGAGGACTCAGGGAAAGGTGACCAGTCTGTGGCTGGGTCCGGATATAAACCTACATTTGGTGCGTCACAAACATGTGTCTGCTTTGGTAGATGCAGACAAACAGCTCTCTGAAGGGCTCGGCCAGCACACACTCCCTCCGGCCGGCCTGCTGGCTTTCCCTCTGGGGCAGGCATATGGCAGTGTCTCATTTTGATTTTCTTTTTTAAAGATTTTATTTATTTATTAATGAGACACACACAGAGAGAGGCAGAGACACAGGCAGAGGGAGAAGCAGGCTCCCTATGGGGAGCCTGATGCGGGACTCGATCCCAGGACTCCGGGATCACACCCTGAGCCAAAGGCAGACGCTCAACCGCTGAGCCACCCAAGTGCTCACTGCTGTAGATTTTTTTTTAATGATTTTTATCAGATTAAGACAGTTTTCTTCTATTCCCAGTTTGCTGAGCATGTTGATTTGAAAATAATGAACAGGTTTTGAATTTTGTCAAATCTTTTTATGTGTTACAGTGGTTCTCAGCTGAGGGTGATGTTACCCTTCACAGGGCATTTGGGGATGTCTGGACACACTTCCAGTTGTCATGGCTGGGTGGCTGCCACTGGCATCTCGGGGTTGGAGGCCAGCAGTGATGCTCTACCTCCTACAAGGCACCGGACAACTCCCCACATAAAGAATGACCTGGCTGAGAAGCCTGAGGAGAGATGATCATCTATTTTCCCTCCTTTATTCTGTTAATGAGCTGAACTACAACGATTGGTTTTCAAACGTTAAACCAACCTTGCATTCTCAGAACAAGTCCAGTCTGGTTGTGATGTCGTTGTTTTTAGACATCACTGAATTTGATTTGCTAGTATTTTGTTTATAATTTCTATATCCATATTCACAAGACAGATTGGCCTATAGGTTTCCTCTCTTTGACATCAGGTTTTATTTTTTTAAAGATGTTATTTATTTGAGAGAGAGAGAGAGAGAATGAGTGAGGGGGAGGGGCAGGGGCAGAGGGAGAAGCAGACTCCCTGCTGAGTGGGGAGCCCAACGTGGGGCTCGATCCCAGGACCCCGAGATCAGGACCTGAGCCGAACACAGGTGCTTAACTTACTGAGCCACCCCGGAGCCCTGACATCAGATTTTGTACACCTTTCTTTTTAAAATGTCAACTTTTGAAACAATATGCCCTAAGATTTTAATTTTAGTTCATAGCTTATCTTTTTGCTCCACCTTTCCTGAGATTTTGGGGGTGGGGCATGGAGGAAAGACTGAGTTTAAGAATACTTTTTCTCCAGCTGTAATTAGAGCACATTCACATTAACCAGAGCTGTGTAATTTTATCAGTCCGCATACCTAGCCGTGTACAGTCCCTGAGAACCTCAATACCCCCTCTAAGAACAGGGTTGGTGTGAGGGGCATTAGAAGAGGGGCAGGCTAGTGTGAGGGAAAATGAGCACAACATGTTCATGTCTGAGTACTTTCTATTGAGCACCGGACCAAGGGAAAGAGAAATGGGTTTTTTTTAAAAAGCCAGTATGGTCATCTACAGGGCATGTGACTGAGGAATTTATACTTTATTCAGAGAATTCCAGGATCCAGCCCTACCTAACCTTTCACATTTCATCTCCTACTACTCTTCCCTTTCTCCTCTATTCCAGGGGTGGTAACTTTTTCTGTAAGGGGCTGAGGGTAAAAAATTTGGGCTTTGCAGACTTTACGGTGGCAACTACTCAACTCTCTACGTAGTATGAAGGTTATAGACAGTGTGGTCATGAACAAGAAGAGCTTTGTTACAATAAATCTTTATTTACAAAAACAGACGGGGGGCCAGAGTTGGCCTGCAGGCCGTGGTTGGCCAACTCTTGCTCTATACTTCAATCATATCAAACCACTTGCCATCTCCTCTGCTGGCTTTCATGTCAGCAGTGCCCGTCTCTGTGTAGCTCTGTCTTGTCTATCCTTCTTGTCACCACACCTCCAGCCTATTCCATAGCATCTACTGAATCAGACATTCAAATATTTAAGCATCCCCTAAGCATCAGGCAATGTAAATATAATTGCGTGAATGATGTTCTTGCTGTGTCGT